ATGCCAACCTCCATGTTATCTTCTGTCATTTGCCCTTCAAAGCTCTCCTTTAGGGTTAAAATGGCTGTGTGAATGGCATCTTCAAGCTCCAGATCTTCATTATATGTTTTCTCAAGGAGAGTTTTCCCATTCACATAGTTCTTTCCCATCGCTGTGGCCTTCCAAGCAAAGTAAGCTCCAGATGGATCTGACTGAAATAAATATGGCCGTCCCTCACTCCAACCACAAATAAACACCAAATGGACAAATACCACCTGACTGGTGTATTCCTGCATCATGGAAGCTACTCTCTGTACTAGCCATGGGGATGGGCTCCTGGTAAGCAAGGTAGCACTGCTGGGCAAGTTTCCGAGCTCTGTGCACAAGCACTCTGTAATCTGGGCCCATGCTACTGTACCTGTGTGCTTGGTAATTGGCCCTACTTTGTGTACGCTTTGCTCATCATACAGAATGGACTTCTGTTTCTTCTCCGTTGCTAATACCGCACCATTTGTAGCTGTAGAGCCCACCAAAGAAGCTCCTCCAGCTACAGCTGCCAATGCATATTCAATCTGGACAAGCTTACCAGATGGCCTGAAGGTTGTCAGTGAAAAGCTGTAGCCACATTCCGCCATCTTTACTGGGAGAGGCCAAGCACCTCATCAATGGCTTGATTGACTCATGAAGTTAAAGCCAAATGGTCCAATCATTTCCCAAAATGTGCATTGACTACCAGCCAAATCTTTAATTCATGAGTTCTTGGGGGCATTACAGATCCAAATGATAATAGGAGATCTGTTAGGAAAAAATTCAGCAAGGCCTTGAGTTCAATTCCCAATACAAAAAAAAAAAAAGAAAAGAAAGAAAAAAACCAGGTTAGTTGATATAAATTCTGTGGGATAAATATAATATTTTTATTTTACTGATTAAAAACTATAATAGGGCACTTTCAACACTTTTGCTTACTTCTTACAAGACTTCTGAGCACCACACATCAATTAGGTTAATCCAAATGCAAGCACTACAAACAGACTTCCTCCTCACTGGCTGGCAGGGTAACTACTGTAAAGCAGACTCCAAAATGCATTACGTATCATTTCCCTTGAAGTTCCAGAAAGACACACACACACATACACACACACACACACACACACACACACCCCTGCCTCCTGGCAACTTTGGTTACCTATGGGAAGGGGTGGCTGGGAGAAGGATGGGAGAGAGAAATTTCCCCAATCAGGCCTTTGCAATTTTACATCATATGGCTATATATTTCTTATTCACAAATAAAAAGCTCTCAAAGTTCTGTCTTATTTGCTTCATGGAGACAATTCAAAAACTTTGACTACTATTTTTGAAAAGTCCACCCTAAAGGTGAGCTAAGGAATCACCTCAACTTCATCATCTAGGGCTTCCCATTGTGCCTGTTGGAGAAAGGCAGCTGTAGGTACCTTGCTCTGTTGCCCAGTTAGCTGAACATCTGCAGCCTTCAGTCTACATTCCCCATCCCTTGGGGGAGCCCTTCAGTAACACTTTAGTGGGAGCATATATTTAAGGTTATCACCTTCCTACTATGGCTACTGGTTATAATAGCCACTATCTCATAACCAGGGGAACATGACCTTGGAAAGCAGAGTCAGGCCCCCTCCCCAAATTCCAGGCAGCTGGAAGGAGAGGGACAGCTGCTGTTGTGACAGTTGAGAACAGCCTCACTACTCTTGCCAGCTACTGGTGATCAGAGCAGCCAGTGGTGAGACAGTGGACAGCAGAACTGGGACTCCTATAGACAAAAGGAGGGGTCAGAGTGGGCAAGGCAGGGACCCAGATGTCCGGCGGCAGGACATGTATTCATGCATACAGAAGGGTGGTATCCAGAGGGTGCCTGGCAGGCTCTCCAGGCAGAGAGAGACAGCGTAAGGTGATTCCATGGAGAACAGCTAGGAGTCAGGAGTAAGGCAAGAGCTGACCTGGCCTTCAGTATCCAGGGACAGATCCCTAAGTCCCCAGAGGCAGACAAGAGAGTCTGAAGGGTGGGAAGAACTGGATTTTCTGGTAGTGAATGATGGGGACTGCTATGAAGAGAGCAAACCAGGGAGCCTGTACTGGGTTGGAAGTGCAGGTCAGCCATGGAGCAGTACAGGGAAGGGACTGAACATTCTGCGTGGGCTCTGGAACCTGCAGAGGCCTCTGAGGAGGGCCTGTCCATGGCACAGGGTCCCTGCAGGTGCTGGGAAAGAAAGTTGAAGCTGAGCCCCACAAGGAAAAGAAGAGGGACACTAAAGCCATAGTTCACGTTCTCCTGGATATGAGGGCATCCTTAAGAATTTTCCAGATTTTAAAATATGTAGTATTGGCAAGCATAAGGTCCCCAGTTCGATCCCTGGTACTACAAAAATAAAATCCTTAAAATATCACAAAAACCACATTTCCTTAACTATGTGTGTGAGTGAGCGTTCCTTTTAAATTGCATATATATTGTTGGAGTGAAGAAGTGAATGTACACCTCGAAGTGTAACATACAACTAGAAAATAAAGTAGATTTCTGCTTAAGCTCCTCCTTAAGTAAGATCAAAATAATAATTATCTGCCTATTGCGAATTTTCCCAGTGGCAAAATTCTGCTCTTCCTTAAAAGATCTGTGATCCTGTAGCTCTGTTGACATGTCATTTTGGAAGTGATGAAAATGTGCTGGCACTAAAGCAGTGATTATACAAATGTATGACTCTATTAAAAAACCACTGGTATAATGTAAAAGGCTAAATTTTATAGTGTGTGAATTATGTGTCAATATGTATAAAGACATAAAAAGATAAAAGCTGAGGAGCAAGAAATGAGTATTAAATAACCTGTGAAACTGTGTTAAGATGTCTCTGTCACTTTGGAAAGCAGTGGTTCCTCATTTTGGGGAGGAGGTGAAGTCCGAGATTAGGTGCTGGATGGGGTGAATGAATCACAGCCTGTGGAAGCCATTGTCCATGTGTTCAGTCAGCTGGTGCCCAACCAGGACACAGTAGGTGGTGTCTGACAGTACTCCCAAGTAGCTGCTTCAGTCCTTACCAAATTCCCCTAAAAAGTACCTTTCTGAGTGTGTCACACAGACAGAGTGTGTGCTTATCTTACACGTACCGTGCAACTTTCTTAATGGGTCAGAAGCATTTGCTAACCTTTGACATCTTACTGCGCCCCCACACACATGTATCCTGTTTGCCTTCCCATCAACTTGCAGCAGTGTTCACATAGCCTTAGCCTCAGATAACCCCCTCTGTTGTCCATGGAGTGCTAAAGTGAGTCCCAGGAAGCAAGTCCACATACAGCCCTCCTGTACGTGCCACTCCAGCAACCCAGTGGGACCTTCTCATCCACTTCAGAGTCACTGTTTTCTTGCCTCCCTTGCCTGCCCAGGGTGAAGTAGGAGGCCCTTTCCCTCAACCCCATTCAGCTAGCTTTGTGTTTCCTGAGTTGGTGCTTTCTTTATAAGATTTCCTTCCATAATTGAAGTGTTTTCAGAATATATGGCTTCTGCTAAGCCATATTCTTTTGACACTTTCCTTTCAACTCTGAAATGTACAGATGAAACCTCACTTCGCCCTGGCCAACCTCTCAGTGCCTTTGTTCCCGCCTCTCCTCTGCTATGCCACCTGTCAGCCATCTGATGGTCTCCTAGGGCCTCTGGCCACCCCAAAGGCCATGCCAGAACTCACTGCCTCTGTGTGAACTGTTGACTTCATCTTTGGTCTTCTTGTCCTTCCCCCGCGGTCCACCTAACAGTTGCTATTTTTCTTATCTGGCTGATTTCTTTGTATCCTGCAAAGTTGAGCTCACTTTCTAGGTCCATGAGGAGACTTTGCTGGCCTTGCTCTGCTGAGATCAAATCCATTGGCTCTACAATACCACCCACCTGGTGTATGTTAGCCTTTCTATGCTAAATCCCTTGAAGGGAAGGTCTGTGACTTGGTTTCTGCAGACCCAGCAGAGCACTTGTTAAAGAGTGTATTCACTGATGTCTGTTCAGTACTCAGTTTCACTCTTCCATTTCTAAGATGACTTGTCACCAGCAGTGTTTATTATTGTTGTCATTTTTCATACACTGAGAAAGCTGCTGAGAAAAATAACTACTGCTACCACCTGTAAGACTGTCTGGTGATTCTATGAGACTTGGTAATTTTGTTTTGCTATACTGAGATAAGCAGATTCAGAGATTAGTATTTGTATTAAAATTATACTGTTTTGAATCAGAAAGGAAACAGAAGCTCGAAACAATTAAGCAGCTTATGTGGAGTCCCTCAAGCAATAAACGATTGGACTTAGCTCATGAAGTTCCTGTAATATCTTACTGTCCTGACTTATTAAAATTGTCTCCATGTTTTATTTAACTTTTTTTTCCTGGTACTAGGGATTGAACTCAGGCCCTTGCGCTTGCCAGGCAAGCACTTACTCTACTGAGCCATCTCCCGGCTTAACATTTTTTTTTTCTTTTCAAAGTTTTATTGATAAACATATAGCAATGAGACAGTTTCAAATCAAATCGAAAGTACAGTTTCAACAAATAATATTGTTTAACATTTTTGAAGGTGAGCAGTATTAAATATCTTTTACAATTCAGAAGTAGCTTATGGGACCAAATTTGACCTCCCAAGTATAATTATAGAAAGGGACCTCATGTCCCTGTGGTATCATGACCAGATACCATCTGACCCCACAGAAGTGGGGCCAGTTTTGTATGTGGCTTATGTAAAGCAGTGTTCAACTTTTGTGTACAATTTGCATATTTCCTTAATCTGCCAAATCATAAGCATCACTGAAATGTTTTGTAAGTGTTTAAGTAGATGTCACACCCAGTGTTAAAGGTGGATTTCATACATTCTTAGGCTTCAATAGGGAGGGGACAATTTTGGAAGTGATTATGTTAGTAGCTTACGATGTTTCTTATGCTTTTTGCAAGTAGAATTTAGTAATTCATTTCTGTGTTCTCCAAAAAGGATTTGTGCATAATGTCTGTCTGCTGTCTGTTTTCATTCCAGGGGACCTTCCAGGCCACCCCTCGTTGCACGAGTGACAGGCACTATGAGCATGCTGGGCGGTGCTGCAGCAAGTGTGAACCAGGTAGGCCTGCTCCTAGGCATGTGCCAGGGCCTTCCAGAGGTGGCGGTACTTACGCTGGTTGATTTTTTTTCTGTCCTACCAGATTATAAAAGTAATTGGATAGACCTTTCATGGTAGTGGCAGGAATCATGTCTATCATTTAGAAAACAAAAATCTTTTCCTCAACAGATAAAATCACCCCAAAATCAAAAGGAGTTTCAGAAACTGGTACTTAATTTATGCTCAAACCCCATTTTCCAAAACACTATTTCTTGAGAAGACAAGGTTTTCAAAATCATATTTTAGCACTTTAGACTCAAACTCTCACAATGTGAAATGCAGCTCTTATTTCAAATTATTTTCGCGAGTTTTATTTTGGAATAGCCACACTAGAATTCTCCCTGCTGAGTTGCCGAGGCTTGTTAGGCCTTTACATGCCTGCCAAGGAGCAGGAGTGGGCTGGCTACCACCTGTTCTTGGCCAGTTTGTGGCCACGTATTTCTACAGGTCCTGTGAAGCCCCCAGCCCACTGCATCCTCATTCTCTCATTGCTCTGGGGAGGGGTAGGAAATGTGGGTTACCTTATTAGCAAGAGGTAACCTGTGGAGGTTTTAGCTACAAATATTTCTCCATGTGTAGAACCAATATCCAATGATTTTAAGTGTGGAGTGTGTGCGTGTGTATATATGTCTTGGTCAGACTAGTTTAGCCATGAGCCCATAGTGTTTCTAGAACACAAGAAGTTGGCCATACAGAGTGAGGCTGAGGGAAGTCTGGAGATGGCACGATAGACAGGTTAATAAAGTTCCTCTTGCTTAGCCCTCTTATTCCCTGAGTATATTCCAGAGAACCTCTCAAGTTCTGTATAGCCCAGTTTAAATCCATAGTTCTATTCCAGTAACAGCAGAATTCAGGGGCACAAAGGCAGTTGGGCCTTCATTTAAATGAACTAAGAAGCTGCTGTGATCACAGTAAACTCAGGAGGGAACACATCAGGCACAGTAAACGCAGGACAGTGTATCTTAGCCAGCCAAGGAGCCTTCAGAGCCTGCAGTACCACACTCATCTCATATATCATGTCATCTTTGGTTGTGGGGAGAACTTTCTGGGATTATGGTCACATAAACTAGACCAGTAGATTGGCTCGCTTGCTCTTTCTTTTCATTTTCTTTCTTTCTTTTTCTTTTCTTTTTTTTTTCTTACTAATTTCTTTCTATTTAGTTAATACTAGGAATTGATGCCAGAATCCCCTGAGCTATACCTCACTAGTGTGTTTTCTCATGGTTGTTTTGTCTTGCTTTTGATCAGTGCATTTTTGGCTATTATTTTGTGTTGCATTCTTGTCATTTTGTTTTCATCGGTACATTTTCCCCTTCCAATTTAAGGAAAGTACATGTCTTCTAAATGCACTACTACCTCCGACAGCGTGTGTTTGCCCTGCGGCCCAGATGAATACTTGGATACCTGGAATGAAGAAGATAAATGCTTGCTGCATAAAGTCTGCGACACAGGTGGGTTAACCACATCCATGTGTCAGTGGGATGTGTGGAAACCCAGTATCCATCTTTTGTCTCATCTTTTGATCCTCTTATCTCTATAGGTATTTTTAGATTCAGCCAGTGCTATTTCTTTTGGAAGGACTGGGAAGGAATTATAGCTATGGTTTTGGATCTTCCGAGTCCAGGATTTTAAAAAATCTATACTTAGGACTTTTATTCTAGAATGTGTTTATGCTTCAGTTTAATCATGGTTAGTTCATACATTTGACATAATGTCCCCATGATATTGGTATATGTAGTGCCTTATCTAACCTTCTTTGAACCCTATAAGATACTCATACTTGTCCCATTTTGCACATTGAAAAACTAAACTTAAGTTGAATGACTTCTCCAGTGAAATCTGATGAGGAGCAGGACCCAAAACCAAATTTCTGACTTGAAAACCTTTTTCCTAAACTACAAATATTCTGTTGCCTCTACAGTTTTTTTCTTCCCATACTGCCATAATTATTTTCTCCTCATAAGTGTTTTTAGGTTATAGCTTGTTTTCATGAACCAGGATCAAAATATAAGTCTCCTAATTTAGAGATTATGTTCTCTTTTTGCCTTTTTCTAAGCTGTTTATATGTTGAAGAAAGTATTAGTGCTTCCAGCCTCAATTTTTCTAGGTGCAACCTCTTTGTGTCATTTAACATATTCTTCTGTCCCCTATATTTCCTGAAAATTGGTTGTTGCAGATATAATAACAGCTGTTTGATATATCTAGAAGCTAGATCAGATTCTGTTTTGCTTTTTCTTCTATTTGGATTTTGGCAAATCTCCTTTATATGTACTATAATTCACATATATAACACCGGAATTATATAATGACTATTTATCTCTCTTGTGCCTTTCTAAAAAAACTACTTTGAGACAGGGTCATGGTAAATTGCCCAGGCTGGCCCCAACTTGCAATCCTCCTGCCTCAGTCTCCTGCATAGCTGGTATTACAGCTGTGTACTACTGTGATTAGTAGTGCCTTATCCCTTTTTATGATATTAGCAGTTGCTCATTAAGCATGATTTAAATCTATTTTCATTGGGAACTATATAAATGTGATGATCTACTGTATTATTCCTTCTTTATTTATTAGCTGGTATGCTTCATAAAGAGCAACTTCTCTATTGACTATTTGTTACCTTGAAGTGTAGTACATATAGGACAGGCAGAATAAATGTTTTTTTCTATTATCATTTTTCAAAATAATGACTTGAGCATACAGATTTCTCCCAGAAATTTGTATAAATGTTATGAATTCATGCATTTTTTAAATTCATGCATTTAAATGTATTTGAGGTGTTTCAATCTATTGCAGTGACTATCAGTTTTATGAATGCTTAATTTCCCCACTTTTCCAAGATGATCCCAGGTATTCTGGTATAACCCCAGGCATCTGAAGGGCTTCCTTGCTTCCAGACTTACCTTGGACATTTCCTGCCCTGAACTGTCATCAGCTCTTTCTCCAAAAATTCCTGGCTGTCCTTTCTGGTGCATTTTATTTAGTGACCTCAGTCAGAGTGCTTGGGTGATTCCTTGCTACTGGATCAGTCCTCACTGTTGTCTTTCTCTTCCACCTTTGGGCAAAGATAAAGAGCGTGTATTTTTCAAACTATAATTTTTCTAATGTGTTAAAGAAGACTAGAGATTTCTGGCCAGAGAAGGTAACATAGAAACTCCACTGAGCAGAAGCATCTGATTAAGTCTCTTTCATTTCCTACTGCTTAGTAATAACTTTGACTCATTACTGTCTTTTGGAAATAAAGATTCATTCTGTCTACTGCCAAAGTTGATTAGAGTCTAAAACTAAATGCATTAAATTATTTTAGAAAATGCCAGCAATTCAACACCCTAAAGGCTTACACTTACTTTTATTTGAAGAGGATACTGGAAGTCTTTGGCATTTTTGGAAAAGTGACATATGTCGGTGTAGGTTTTCATGTTGTACACATGTTTCTGTCAGTTGGCACTGCTGCAGAGCTGACTTGGGCTTCAAGTGTGGGCACCTGAAGGAGTGGGGACTTCAGGGTCACCATGCTTGGTCTGAAAAGAATGCAAATAGGAAATGCTCCCTATTAGCTATAACTTGGGACAGTGAAGCAAGAAACAGATTTCTGATTTGTTTCCTCTAACTCCCAATATTCCTAAATGTATTCGGTAATGTAAGATGAGGGCTGTTTGGACAGTCCCACTGAGATGCAGCTGCACACAGGTAAAAGGTCTGTTTTCAGTAATGTTATGAATATACATTGTGTGTGTGTGGTACATGTTAGTGTGTGCATAGCTGATTCTCCTTACTCAGAGTAGCTACATTCTATAAAGTAACCTCAGATACTGAATTAGCAAATCCTGAGCCATTGCCTTCAGAGAAAATAGGTAGTAGTCACAATATTTTCATCATCCAGTCAACATATAACCTTGTATTATGTGTGTTAGTTTTTATTTGATTCATGTTGTTGAGTCCTTAACCGTGCATCATGGAAGCACCACCTAATTCACTGATACAGTGTTTACTTCACACAGGTGTTTTCTCCCAAAAGTACTTTCCAACTTTCTGCACTTAGAACACTAAACTGCACTTTAGCACTATGTCTGGGGCCATTTCAAATGGGGAAATCCAACAAAAATCATAAAAATGAGGGAGATGTGCCACTGGGTAGGCTCTGGGAAGCGCACCTCTGTACAGTGTGATGAGAGGTGATATAAGAAAGCAGTGTGTCCCCATCCAACCTTGGGAAGGAGCCTGCCTGCAGAGTGACTCAACCTGTATATGGTTCTTCACATGGCCATGAATTGTGAAAATGCCTGGAATATTGATTTGGAGCTTACAAAGAAATTTTTCCAAAGTTGGTAAATTCACTAATATGGGTCTGTGAATAATGAGGATCTGTGTGTGTGTGTGTGTGTGTGTGTGTGTGTGTGTGTAGTATCATAGAGTAAATTGTCATGGTACCAGTATTGCAGAAAAACTGGAAGGGGACAGATTTGAAGAAGACAAGCACTTTGCTGTCTTAAGAAAAAAGAGAAAAATACATTATCCTAGGTATTTGGAGCAGAAAGACTGATTCTCCCCATCTGCCTCTCTGCTTTCTCTACTTATCTAACTACCTTGGGACCCTTTGAATGTCAAGATGAGTTCAACGCTCCTGAACCCCCATTGTCTTAGGTCTGAAGAAGCCTCAGTGTTGATACTGGTGACATTAGAATTTAGTAAAATTCAAGAAACTGGGCACAGTTTGATGAGTTTGCATCTACTGAAATATGGATCACACATTCCTCAGGCCTTAATCTTCCTACTAGCATGAAAATTAACTTCTTACAATGCTCACAAAACTATTAGGGGAGTGAGATGACCCAAGGCCGCGGGATCCTGAACAGATCCAGAGCGCAGACCCCGCGAGTGAGTGAGACTACTGGGGGCCTGCGGGATCCTGAATGGACCCAGAGCACAGGCCCAGGGAGTGAGTGAGACAACTGACCGTG